TCTTTAAATCAGGACAACAAATTCCAGATTCCCAAAACGATGTGTCCAGAATGTCCAATATACAATCCAAAATTACTGGACATTCTAAGAAGGAAGAGACCAGGGTGAAAACTCCCAGGAGAATTAAGTAGTATAAGGAGAGAGAAAATAATGGTAGCAAGGGAACGGGGAGATTATTTAGAGAGTGGTCGCTTTGACAGAGAGCAAAGGCCTCGGAGAGCATGCACGGAGAAGGCCAGGAAAACATCCAGGGGCAGACCATCCTAGGGCGAGGACACAGCCAGTGGAATCCTGCTTGGCTTATCAAGAAAGGGCAGGGCAGCGAGTGTCGCTTGGGCCGACTGAGCGGAAGGGTGTGAGATGAGCTAGTATGATGGGGGTCAGGGGACCCAAGGCCCGGAAGGCTGTTGTGGGGATTTTGATTTTAGCCCCAGTAAGACGAGAAATCACCGGAGCATTCCCAACAGAGGAGTGATGTCACCTGACTTACATCTTAAGTAAGATGCTTCCAGCTGATGTCTGGTAACAGACAGTAGAAGGTTAAGAGTGGATGCAGGGAAATCAGTCTCGAGACCCGGCCGGCCTTCCAGGTGACAGGTTGGTGGCTCTGACTGGGGTGGCAGCTGTGGAGCCAGAAGTGGTGAGATTCCAGAAACACTTGGAGGACAGGGCTTGCTGAGTGTGGGTGGTGCGTTAGGGAGGAAGGGGAGGCAAGGATGGCTCCAAAGTTTGGGGCCTGAGCATCCTTAAGAAAGGAGCTGCTGGGCTTCCCTGGTGGCGCAGTGGTTGAGAGCCCACCTGCCGATGCAGGGGACGCGGGTTCGTGCCCCAGTCCGGGAAGATCCCACATGCCGTGGAGCGGCTGGGCCCGTGAGCCATGGCCGCTGGGCCTGCGCGTCTGGAGCCTGTGCTCCGCAACGGGAGAGGCCACAGCAGTGAGAGGCCCGTGTACCACAAAAAAAAAAAAAAAAAAAAAAAAAAGAAAGAAAGGAGCTGCCATTTCCTGAGATGGGGAGAGAAGGGAAGAGATCAAGAGCTCAGCTGGATTAGGTGTGAGCTGCGTACTGAACATCTCAGGAGGAATGAAGGTTCGAGTCTGGGATTCAGGAGAAAGTAAACAGGAGGATGGGAAAGTCCATGGGACTCAGCGGCCTGCTGCTGCTCTAAAGGTACTGAATTGCCTGAGGTCATGTAGGGAGTGTGTGTGGACTGAGAAAGGGGGAGGTCCAAGGGCTCCGACCTTTAGCCGACAGCAAGTGAGGAGGACCCCACCTGGAGACCAAGAAGCAGGTTCCAGTGAGGCAGGATGAAAACGAAGAGAAGGCGGTGTCCTGGACACCAGGGGAAGTCAACTGCTTCACACACGCCGATGGACTGAGGAGTCCTGAGGCTTGATCCTTGAATTTGGTGACATGGGCACCAGGAACATTCTTAGCAAGAGACGTTTTGGGGGAACGTTGGGTTTGAAAGCCAGACTGGTGTGGATTCAAGAGAGAATTTTTAAAAGAGAATATGGAGGCAGCAAGAAAAGATAACTCTTTCAGTGAGTTTTACCAAAAGGGGGAAAGAAGTACGCACTGGTCACCAAAAGCGGTTATGCGGTCAAGGGAGGATTGTTTTCTTAAATGGAGAATATTGTTGCATGTTTGTTGCTAACAGGAAAGGTCCAGCACAGAAGAAAAAATCCAGGGGTGAGAAGAGACACCTGCAGGTGCCGGGTCCTTCAGTGAGGGGGGCGGGAGGCAGTGCAGCCGGGATGCTGGCCTTGCACAGGAGCAAGGATGCTCGCCTACTGTAGCAGGGGCCGGTGGTTCACGCAGGGCACCCGAAGGCATGCTGGGGGTTTCGTGGTGAGGGGATGTGGGAGTTCTCTTCTGAGCGCTCCTGTTGTAGTAAGGAAATGGGAGCGGGGAAGAGGCTGCTGACACTGAAGAGAGGAGGAGATGTGAAAATGCTCCCGTGAGAGTGACTGACCTGGTCGGGAGATACAGTAGGGTTTCCCGGCTACACGTGGGGCTCACCTTTGAGGTCTGCAGCTGTGAATTCAGAGTAGGCCAGGCAGTGTGGCTGCCCGTTTTTCCAGCCGTGGTCACAGCTGGGGTGCGAGGCAAGTGTCCTGGAGGACTGGAGTCTTGCCCAGGGAGCATCAAAGCAGGAAGAGAACAAAAGCAAGGGAGTCGAAAGAACTCAAGGAGCTGGCTCCCAGCAGCAGCCAGAAAAAACCGACGTCAGGTGACAAGCAGTCAAAAGAGGCAGGGCGTGGGGATCCCGGCGGCGTGGGACTCGCTAGTCGGGGCGCCCGCGGATCTGGAGGGCAAGTCGTCCGAAGAGGCAGGGCTGAGGCGTGGGGATTCCGGCGGCGAGGAGACTCGCTAATCGGGGCGCCCGCGGATCTGGAGTCCAGGAGGTGTCCACACAGGCCACGGGGGATACTTTCTGGCCATGATCCGGTGGCCGACAAGGGGTGGGTGGGGGCAGCTGAGGGCGCAGAGGAAGGCAAGCGACCGAGTCTCCATCTAATATCGTGCTGTGGGAATGACATTTCCTAAGAGGAACGACCAAAGAAATGGGGGAGAGAAACTGGGACGGCGTGACACTGGGGGGCGGGGGAGCGCGGGGGGGATGTGTGTGACCATGGGGGAGGGTGGTGACCCTAGGGAGATGGCATCCACAGTGGGCAGTGGGTGGCAGAGTCCCACCTCTGGTCCGTCCAAGGATTCAGGCCTTAGGCAAGTACCCCTGAGGAGAGAGGGGTTCCCGGTCACGCAGACCTGAGCACCCGACGTGCAGCCGCCTTTCCTGGCCCACCGGCTCAGGAGGGAAGGAGGGCTGGGACCTGCATTGCGGAGGACGCAGGACGCAGGCCGGGCGGGCGCAGGGCAGGGTGGGTCCCCGGGCGGTGCCGACCCGGCTGTGCCGCCCCGGCTGTGCCGCGACCTGCACCCTCGGGGCAGCTGCAGGGTGCTCCCTGGCCAGTGCTCAGCGCTCACGGCTAGAAGCTGCAGGGGCAGGGCCTCCCCGGGGTCGCGTAGCCCTCAGAGCCCACCGCCCGGTCACCGCGAGCCACGTCCGCCCGAGGACACCTCCCGACCAGGCCGCCAGCGCAGGGGCCGCCATGGGGGCTCGGGCCCAGGGGGCGCTGTCCTCCGGCCAAACCTCTGCTCTTCTCCTCCCCACGCCCACCCTGGTCCCTAGGCCGGGCTCAGCCGTCTCACCTCAAGGCGGGGGGGGATCCGTCCGCGAGGGTCCCTGACGCGTCCTGCCCCCCTCTATCACCCAGGCACAAGTGTGGACGCAGCTTAGGGAGAGGTACTTGGTGGGAGGCTCAGGGTTTATTTTCTGGTTTGGATCTAACTTAAACCTCTCTGCCTCTCACCCCGTCTATAGGCGACACCACAAGTGGAGCGAGGAGACGTTATTTGTGAGCATATGAAGCTGGAAAACTGCTGTGCTCATCACTTCTTTCAATCTGGAAGCCACACCTCAAGCTGCAGACATGTTACTTCCTGTGCTTCTCTTTCTTGGAGCCACAATTCCTAAGCGCTGTGCTCGCCTAGGGAACTCTTTCACGACCTATTTTTCTCTTCAGACTTACAATTTCCTTCAAAATACTGAAATACACTGTTGAGTAAAAGAGCCTGTCAGATGAGAGCTGGGTGAGAACTGTGGAGACAGCTGCAGCCTTTCAACAGGAGTCATGGGAGCGCACAGAGTACCTCCCCGCCTCCCGAGCCTGCAAGGAGGCTCCCACCCGCCGGAGACACACGCTCTCTCCTCCAGCCCTTGCAGGGATACTCGCCCAGACCTCTCCAGGCCGGGCGGGGGTACAGAGGGCTGGCGACCTGAAAGCACCTTTCAAAGGAGCTCCATTCATAAGGAATCCCCCCAGTTGCGAGAAACCCACTTTCGACTTGACATCTCCAGGTGTTGAGTCCACCTTCCTGAGATCCCATCACTCAACGCAAAGGTCAGCCTTTTAGAAAAAGAATGACTTATCCATGGAATATGGGTTAAAATAGAAGAAAAACGGCTTTGACTTTATTCACTAGGTATTTTCCGATTCTGATTGAGGTGTAAAAATTCCACTAAATCAGATCTGAGAAGCTGATTAGATGTGCTGGCCTCTGACACATCACTTCCTTCTGTTTCCCCAAACCAGCTTTCTTTCTCACCTGCTCCCGTCCTTACCTGAGACCTGGGATCCTTCTCCTCAGCCTTCCCGTGGGGACAGCAGTGCTAAGCTACGGCTTACCTTGAAAAGTCAGCCTCATTTCTGTCAGTGAGGCAGTGGGTGTGTGTGGATGGAGCCCAGGTTCCTGGCCTGTACAGCATGGCGGGAGGTGGGAGGGGCGAACCTCTGGTTTTCTCCTCCTCAAGCTTTTCCTTTAACAATGTTTGGTTTGTGTGTGTGTGTGGGGGGGGGGGAACCTTTATTTTTTTTAATATTTTCCAAATAGACCGTGAATTATGAGCAATCTGTAGCGGCATGAAAAGCTCTGAGGATGCCTGAAGTGGGAAGTGGACACAGCAGCGCCAGCGCATGCGGCTTCTCAGACAGGCCGTGTGCACGTGACAGAAACAGAAGGCGCCGGGCAATGGCGGTGGAAAGGCATGGGCGACGGATTTTCCCCACTTTCAGTGTCACGATTCGTGCTGGAGTACAGATCTCCTTTGAAAACCTGTACAGATTATTCGTGACGTTTTAAAAAATTAAAGAAGAGAATATAAGTCTCCCACTTCCAACAAACAAAACACACAAGGACGCTGTCTGCTTGGTCGGTTCAGACTCGTGAGACCGTGGACTGAGGAAGGCCGTCCCTGACCCTCCATGAATCAGACACATTCAAGGCCAAGCGCTGACCAGAGGAGGCGGATCTGGGGGCCTGGGGACAACCCCCATCCTCTGAGGGACGGTCCCAGTGCCCTCTGTCCACATGGGTAAGTCGTGGAACGGACCGAACCCGAGCGCGAGAAAAAATAAAAGCTACAGAACAAAAGCAGAAACTGCAAGCTATTTATTAACACATCTTCCAAATTACAATACAGTTCAAAACATATTTCTCAGCATGGAATCACACAAATGATACACACAAGAATACATTTTTTCCAACCATGTCACAACTGTTCTTCACATATATTCCTGATAAAGCTGTCACAGTGATTAGAGCAAAGTGAAAAATGGGGTAAAACAAGGCAACGTCATTTCCCGCAAATGTGTGTAGCGTTCGGTAGAAAACACGGAGTAGATCACCCAGAGGAAAGCAATTCGCTCAGCTCTTGATGTCTCAACTCCCACTGCGCGCCCCATAACCACAGCTTCAGACTCGACGCCGAGCTGGCCCAGACCAGCTCACAGCGATTAGCAACAAGGTTAGGAAGGGTCACAGTCAGCGAGAGCGGCAACAAAGCCAAACAAGCCGTCACCTCCCAGTGGAAGAAGAGGCACGCTACCACTAACACTGAACCCATGCAAAAGAGGTCCTGCAAAAGTGGATAAAAACAGAGAAGGGGTGATTAATGGCACGGCCGGCGCAGGCTGCAGGACGCTGGCTTCCACGGGGCCCCAGCCCCTGAGTCGGACTGCAAAACAACAGAATCCAGATGTTACTCTCGCCAACCAAAGACCTGGAGGGACAAACCGTGAGTAAAACCTGTCAAAGCAAAGGTTTAGATGTAATCGAGTTGTCGACACAGCACAAAGATATTCATGGCACTGAGAGTGGAATTCTAAACGTTAACACTTGGACAGAGCAGCCAGGAAGGAGCGCCGTCACCAGATGAAGAAGCCGTCACCAGGGGAGACGGCAGGAGAAGAGAATGGACACCCAGCAATGGCAAGTGAAAGAAGGGGCCGCGCCTGAGGACGGTGGATGGTGGGTTTGGCAGGGAGACCCCCGAAGGAAGGAAGGAGGGTGCACAGCAGGCCTGGCTGACGTGGCCCAGACACTCAGCAGCAGAAGCGAGACCAGACTGGGAGCCCAGCAAAGAGAACCAACTCAAAAATGGGGGGGGGGGGGGGGGAGAGAAAAAAAATCAGATTTCAGGCTGTGTTGTTGGTGAACCTGAAAATTAAACAGTGGAATTAAAGCCTTAGAGTTAAAATCCTCACAAAGGAAGAACAATTCTGGATCCCATGCCTGTGAAAAGCAAAGCTGAATTATAAAAACAAATGATTATCTGCTCTTCAGTCAACAGTATAAATGTGTGTTGCATGCATGCGTGTTGCTTCAAAAACATAAATTATATACTCTAAGACAATACTGCAGACTGCACACAATTTAAATAGTCCTTTAAAAATCAGGTTCCATTACGTGTCCTTAAAATGAAAAATAGTTTAAAAGAAAATCATGCTAGCAAGAGGTCTACTTTCTAGAGTATATAAATGACTACATACAGAATATATTAAAACAGCACAACTGTTTGTCCACTCTGTGGAAAATATTAAAATTCAAAGACTACATCATGTTCCTTTTTAAAAGGCCTATATTTTTCTACATACCTTTCAAAATAAGTAAAACAAAACAGCAACACGAGGCCTTTTTACATTTTAGTTGGTGAGAAGTAAAAGCAAAAAGCAGCTTCTCACTAAAAGTACCTGCTCTGCCTCTGCCCATCTTAGTGAAAAGACTCCTACCAAAACACGGCACAGAAAAGAGCGAGTTAAGATTTTCTGCACCTTCTCTAGAAAGGGCAGCTTACACGTGTAAAACCAATGATCCTTCCCAACCACACGCTACCAGAAGGTATACCTGGGATCCAATATGAATCAGTGAGTTTTGTTTGGTTCTAGGACACAAAACCATGGGCACTTTAAATGAGAAAAATTAAATAGGTTGTAAAAAACCTTACACAAAATCCTTAGGATTTAATAGAAGTCAAGGCTGACTGCCTTTGGAGAGATCATATTTACCAATGTCCAAAATAATGCATCATTCACAAGTTTTAAGAAGAGTTGAGAAGGTTAATTGATAAAATGCTCATTAAATACAATGGAGTATCTAAATTTTCCCTCTATCGATGTAACTCCTGTGGCTTCCTTCATGGGGGGTGGGGGCATCTCCTGGTCCTATTTCGCCTCACCCACCCCCCTTCCCTCTGTTGGTTAATTCCCTTTTAGAATTCTGTCACTTAAAACCCTGTAAAAAATCAAATACCTTTCAAGCACCCCACCCCCTCCCCCAACAAACAAAGAGAAAGGAGCTGGGCTGTGGGGGGACGGGGCAGGGCGGGGCCTCTAGCTGACTACAGGAAAGTGAAAGCAGCTCTACCGGGGTGTGAGGGAAGCCCAGAGACGCACCAGGAGAGCAAGGGCAGCGCGGGCCTGCGCCCGCCGGGGACACGCTTCTGGACAAGCGGCCCGCTGCCTCTCCAGGATCTAAGGGTCAGAAGGGAGGACAGAAGCCCCCAAGAGCGGCTCTAGGTGCTCTGCACACAGACCTTGACCAAAACCTGACCGTCCCCAGGAGGGGACGACGAGCACATTGAGCTTACCTTCAATTAAACAACAAAGAAATTTAAAAAAATAAGAAAACAAAAGCCAAACAGAACAAAACAAAAACCAGAAGCCAAAAAAACACACAAAAGAACAAAAAAAACAAAAAAAAAAAACAAAAAAAGAAAGTGACAGGTTCTCAAAACAACACGGCCTCAGTTCTCATCTACCCTCCACGCAAGCCAGCCAGGCCTCCTCCTGTCCAAGAGCCCGGCGGTCCACCGAGCCCAAGGGGCTGGGCCTGGCGCGGACGCCCCTCCTCCAGCCCGGGCCGCCAGCGGACATCTACCGAGCCCACCGTGCCCGCCGCCCGCCCGCAGGCCTCCCCACCAGACCGGCTGACTCCTGTGCAGAGCCAGCGTGTTAGAATAAAGCCTCTGATGGACCCTCGTTAGCACCCCTCCGTGCTACAACTCTCCTCGCCCCACTTCTAGGCTCCTTCTTCCCTCACCCTGGACACCTCCTCCCAGCCTCCTTCCAGCAACAAAGTCTGTTTGCATAATTAAGCCAAATGCCCTTTAAAAAAAAAGACCCCTTTGTGCAGGATCTAAGCTGTCACAATTCAGAAACGCTACAAAACCAAGCATAAACAATTGTTTATCCAGGACCTTTACAAATCATGAGAAGGAAGACCCCCAATTAGAAATAGTTATGATGACGCCCCCCTCCCCTCCCCCCGTCCCCTCCCCCGCCCTCCCCGGTGGGGAGAGGGCACAGACACCTACTTAGCATGCTGCCTGTCCAGAAAGGGGGGAACCCGCAATATTTCTTTTGGAAAAAAGAGACGATATTTCTCCTTAAGAAGGATATCAGTATAAGAATTTAACAAATGTGGCCAGACCAACGGTAGTGCAAGGTTATGCTCAGATAAGTAGCTAAGTGAGCTTCTGTTACAGCATAAGATCAAAACAAGATATAATGCAAAAAGAAAAAGCACCTCAGGTCCACACAGTCACCTACTGTCTTCACCTTATGAGATATACTGATATTTACTGGCTTCTTGAATTTGTGAACAAATAATACACAGGTCAGGATAAATGTATTGACTTACTACCATCTTTATAAAAATCGAATATACACACAAACACATCAACAGTTATGGAACTGCAGCCATTAAACTTTGATAAGACAACACAAAGGAACTAACAAATAGCTAAGATGCTGCTGAATTGAAAGCATTTCCAATAACATTTAGTTTTAAGAGGTCCATATTTACATGGTTGTTAACTGCTCCTGCATACCCTTTAAATGCATGATAACGAAAGAACAAAGATAATGGTTGCAGCAGATCTTCCAAGAGGGTTCAGCTCACCGTGGTCTGATTTCACTGCGAGAAGTGCACCAAAAATGGAAATAACGTTCCTTTCTAATTCTGCTTCTTTCTTTCCTTTTCCAGTTTCCCTCAAGGAAAGCAAAGCCTTTGTTCCCAGGCCTGGCTGGCACTAACAGAGCCCGTGCCCAGGGGCCGTGTGCATCAGGAAGCGACCGCGGGAAGCCTTTCTAACCAGTCCTTTCCGGAAGGCCCGGCTCGACTAGGCCTTTCAAGAACTTTCTATCAAGAGAAAGCTTACTTCTCTGTGTGCGTAGACTGTTACAGACACACACCTGTTCCGGGGCACCCCTGTCAGACTCAGACAACACAAAAACAGACCTTAAAGTAGCCATGAGGTCTGCCTTGAACAAAGGTGCCCAAATAGGATTCGTTTCTTACCACTAACTAGAAGAAAGTACGCCTGAATGGCTACTTTTCAGAGACAACATGCAGATTTTTAGCTTCACAGCCACAACACACTCAGACTATTTCAAAAAGCGGTCAAATTTTGTATACTCAGCTCACTGCGTCATTAAGTCCTCGGTGATAAAATAAGTCCATTAACTGTAAGCCTTCCTGCTGCCCAGGGCGGGGAAGTGGTGTGGGTCTCTCCTATGTGGTGCCTGCATGCTACCCAACTCACCACTTCAACGCGGCTCTCCGTGGACTGAGCTCCTAACCTGTGAACGCGACTTTATCTCTACCTGTGAGGATGGCGGCAGCGGCCACTGGCCATCTGGATGCTCCGCCGGAGCACCCGGGGCCAGGCTGGCACACACCACCACCTCCCAAGGGTTAGGCAGGGGCTTTCTGGAGCACGGGTGGCCAGGCACCTCAGCTCAGGGGGGCGAGGGGGTGTTCTAGCGTGTTCTATGAGTGCCTATAGTTTCCCGGAACCGAAATCTTCTGAAGAGCAGTCATCAACACCCACCTTCACATTCCAGACTCACTCCTAGCACACGGTACCACAGTGGAATCAATGCTACAGGAAGTCTCACAGGGTCTGAAATGCTCTTCTCTGGTTCTGGTAACTTAATTTGAAAAAGTAATACAAAATTTCAACTGTGAAAATAAGAAGATACAAGTTCACGTGACCTGTGTCTTAGCTCCCAAGAGAAGGCTGAGAAGGAGGGACGCCTTGCTGCAGGGGGGGCTGCCTGCTCACATCTGGTCCTCGCTGGGCTAACCAGACGCATTAACCGGTGGTAACAGGCTTCTATTTCCCTTAATTCCATTAATAAATCTCACAGGAAATCTTAGGTATAAAATATAGCTAAAAAGTCTGAGTATGCCCCGGTATCATTTGCTCAACTAGTTCAGGTCCACATTAGAATCAATCCAAAATAGTGAAACTCCTTCATGAGCAGAAATACAATAAGGCACTTTTGTCCACATTTGCCCAGAATGAATTTTACTACAGATGACTTTAAGGGGAGGAAGCGTCTCTCACCTGAAGGAGCCTACCCAGCATCCCAGAGACACACTGCGCCACACGCCACGGAGAACGACAAGCCAGCGCAAACATCCCCTCGCTCTCGGGTCCACTGAAGGACAGCGCAGCCCCTGCTCAAAAGGCCTTCAAAAAAGAAAATCTTAATCACAGATTGCCCAAGAATGTTCTATATGCGTCACAGAGCCGGTGACATGAATATGCCACTTGGGGCTGCACTTAAAAAGAGGAAAAAACCAAACAGGCCTGCGAAAGCTTCAGGCTGTCCTACCCTCCTCACCTGGCAGGTATGCTACGCTCGCCTAGCAGGGAGCCCAGCGAGGGCTGGAGGTGAGGGCATCCGGACACCTGCGCTCAGCCTGGGGGCGTGTGACGACGCCCAGCAGCACTTCCGCCGCATTCAGAACGAGTATAAAAGGGGGCGCTCCCTTTGGAACTAGGACTATACAGTTGGCGCTTTTGGAGTATTTACAAGAAGCAGAATCGGCCACACAATTGGCACCACTCCCAACCACCCTCATACCCTGCTTTCCAGGATATGCAACTGCCAATCATAATCACCCGAATTTTAACCTACGTTTTTACAAGAGCCTTTTGAGGGCTTTCTGAGACGGTAAAACAAGTGAAGCTGGTTGAGAAAACGCTCATCTAGCCTGCACTGAAGATAAGTGCAACCATTATCAAATATTCTTTGCTGTGAAAACTACTGAGAATTTGTGACGTTAATGTCTTTACTCACTCTAAGTCGCTGTAATCGATCATACATAAGATCACGAAGAACGATGTCTACATGCATTGTAAGCACTTTGAAAACATGAGAAAGCGAAACCTGTAGTTCTTTGTGGTGACAAGAGAATGTGAAGCGATCTAACACCGAGTCGAGTCTGCCGCGTCCCGTAAGGTCAGCTCTTCTGGAATCAGTGCTGGGCCGCTGGGCGCTCCGGACGACAGCCACGCAGGGCTGCGGACGGAGAGACCTAAGCTCGCGGGGCTCTGCGCAGCAGCTCCCGGGAAGAAATTCCACAGCGCGTGTGCAGCGTTACGGTCAGGCTCTCCTGCCAGAAATCACTCAACAATCAGGGCCACATTTATGTGGGACAAATCTATCATATGCCTGTGGGGATTTAAAGAAACAGTGACCATTAGGTTACCTGTGCACATCAGCAGCCACGGGATCAAGCGGAAGAAACATGCAGACTGACAGAGAGGATCCACCACACCCGGGGTGACCACCCACGTCACAGGAGGCGGCAGCGCGTCTCCGCAGAGACAGACAGCAGGTGGCAGCACAGACTCCTCCCATCTCCCACCTGTCACCAGGGGCTCCAAGGCTACCTGTGGAACTTCTGCTGAAACGCTAACGCATGGGCGGGTTCCTTGAACTTGGCTATGGCTTTCCGCTGCTGGGGAAGCATCTGTAAACTCTGAAGGAAGATGACAGAAACACTTTAGAATCCTGTTGTATGGGGTGTAATATACATATAACATACATACATACATACATACATACATACATTCATACATACATTCATTCATTCATTCATTCATTTTTATACATCAGATTTAATGCAAAATTTGAGTCCAGGCTGACACTTAGATCACTAAAACAAACTAATTCTACCTCCCTGGCAATTTTTTGTAATCTATCCAGATAATCTATCCAGCAACAGTGCTTCGCTAAGTCACTGCCCTGAGCAGCAGTCGTTCGTGTCCTCACAGCTTGGTGTTAAGACCTTCCTTCCATCAGGGGGCTTCCCTGGTGGCACAGTGGTTAAGAATCCACCTGCCAATGCAGGGGACACACGTTCGAGCCCTGATCTGGGAAAAGCCCACATGCCGCGGAGCAACTAAGCCCACGAGCCACAGCTACTGAAGCCCGCGTGCCTAGAGCCCGTGCTCCACAACCAAGAGTAGCCCCTGCCCGCCGCAACTAGAGAAAGCCCGCGCGCAGCAACGAAGACCCAACGCAGCCAAAAATAATATATATATATACATATATATATATATATATATACATATAGACCTTCCATCATTTGCCCTGTCAGCCACCCAATCTTCTCTCTAAACCTTCCTGGGGAGGCCCAGGACAGGTGTCCTTGGAGAGTTACTTTCTGCTTTCACATCTTCCTGTCAGGCGATTTTCCACGGGGCCCTCAGTAAGCTTTTTAAAAGCACAATACTCATCATACAGGAGGAACTGCTGTAAGGCAACGGGACCCCACGGTCGGAGTGGGTAGTTATCTCCTAATTATCACTGGGGTAAATTAAGGGTTTCATATATGTAGGTGGGCCACAGTGAGGGGCAGCTGTGTCTGTGGCAGCCATCAGCATAATTTGGTCACAGTCTGTGCTTTAAAAAGTCTGAGAGAAGCGGCATCTTAAATTAAACCTTTAGGGGACTTCCCTGGCGGTCCAGTGGTTAAGCCTTCACCTTCCAATGCAGCGGGTGCGGGTTTGATCCTTGGTCGGGGAGCTAAGATCCCACATGCCTCGCAGCCAAAAAACCCAAAACATAGAAGCAATACTGTAAGAAATTCAATAAAGACTTTAAAAATGGTCCACATCAAAAAAAACCTTAAAAAGAAAATTAAATCTTTAGGATTTGAAACAACCATTCCTGAGGCTACTATTTGCAGTAAAGACCAAGTGAGTTCATGAAGAAGATGGATCCATCAAGTGAAGAGACTGGTGCAGGGACAGTGAACTTTCACCTGGTCCTCCCTCACACTTGCCCTGAGGACAAGGGGCAGCTCTGTGCTTCCCCGAGGCCTGGGGACGTAGGATCCTAGGATTCGGGAGGGATGCGCCGGAGGAGAATTCGGATTTCTCAGCCGGTCCCACTCTCCGGAGTCTGATCCTTCTCAAGCATTTTGGTGACTTGCCATGTGTGTCTGCGGCAATGAGCAAAGTGGCAGGGGGGCCTTGCTACCACGGGGACACAGCCTGAGGAAGTAGCAGAGGACTGACTCAGTGGCGGGGAACCGTCTGCTGTGTCTGGGCTTCTGTCCAGTGACGTTTAACAGCCAGAAAAAATATCTAATGGTAAAACACAACCCTTTAGAAGTGTTTACACATGTGGCTGTTTCATTTTAAAGCATTTGTTCAAAGACCTACAACAAAAGCACATAGCCAAAATATCAGTTCCTTGAAATACGTTCAAACAAGGTAAACTGGGGGCTTCCCTGGTGGCGCAGTGGTTGAGAGTCCGCCTGCCGATGCAGGGGACGCGGGTTCGTGCCCCGGTCCGGGAAGATCCCACATGCCGTGGAGCGGCTGGGCCCGTGAGCCATGGCCGCTGAGCCTGTGCTCCGCAACGGGAGAGGCCACAGCAGTGAGAGGCCCGTGTACCGCAAAAAAAAAAAAAAAAAAGTATACTGTATATGAAATAAGCACTCTCCATTTTAGTAAACACAGAACTCCCATGAGTAAAACATGACCAGGAGAGCGCTAAAAAAATATTCTTTCCAAAAAGTTGCTTTTCAGTGCTTCACACAGAAATAAACAGTTTCAAGTCTCCATATTACATGGCACTAAGGTTTACACACAGGCTCCCCTCGGAGGAGCAGTCAGATAGTCTGGGGCACATCACCAACCAGACCCGGACCAGTGCAAGGACCAGGCCCGGAGGTGACAGAGGCAGCCACTAGGCTGCAGTGAGCTCCGTCTGCCTGGTTTTCTGAAGCCAGTTTAGTAGATACTAGAGCTTTCCTCTTCTTTCAGATATAAAAACCAGACGCAAAAGATTCTTCTTGATGATTTCACTTATCATTAAGTTAACTGGACAAGTAAAGCTCAGCAACCTGGTCTTTAATTAATGCCATCAATTAACTTCTCTTGGATACACTGTCAGCATGCGGCTTTTCTGGCCTCTCAAATTCGTTACTTGACAAAGACCTGTTTTCTCTGCCAGCCCCCGCTTTCGGCTCACGCCCACTCTGTGCCTTATCCTTGAACGATCTCCAGCTGCTGAAGCTCTTCTGGAACTGCTCCTGAAGAGAAAATGCAAGAGGAAATGCCGTGCTGTCCTGTCACCACCAGAGGAGGCCAGAGAAGAACGTGGGTAAGAGCCAGCTTCAAGCCCAGGTCCAACCCAAGCACTGCAGCAGAACCTCCCGCCAGGCCCTGCTTTCTGATTCCATCTCAGGCGCCTCAGGCACCCTTTTCCTCTTCCGGCCACGTGGCCGCAGTGCTCGAGGGCGCTGGGGTGTAGGCACAGCTCCATTTCTTCATGAACTGCGGCCAGCACTGTGGCAGTTCTTACCACAAGACTTAGGAGAACTTAACCTAAACTTATTTTGTCCAAAACTACAAAAATCGCTCGATGAGGAACAGACAAGAAAAAACTAACTTGTTATGATACCACAAGTGATTATCCACACTCTACAATTCACAGATGGAATCTGGATTTTGAAAATACTATGCTCTTCTTTTGAGCAAAAGCATGTCAAGATGTCATTTCCTCTGGGTGCTTTCACAATGTGGAATGAAGGCATGAAGCTTCCTCTTTACCATTTACCAATTTATAAGGTAAGAGGTAAGAAGATAGCTTATCTGTATCTAAGTGGTTTAAAGCTCAATTTGATTGAGAAGGTATCAATCAAGAGAGCATAAACTTTCAATGAAATTTTTTTTTAATATTTACTTATTTATTGGCTGCGTCAGGTCTTAGTTGCGGCATGCAGGATCAGTTCTCAATAGTCAACAAAAGTAATAACACTGTCTTAAAATTTGTTTTCTGTCTGTTCCCCTTTATTGACATTTCTGCACCCTTTTCCAAAAAACAAAACCTATTTTCAGATATAACACTGAATTGCTAAAACTGTCAATATTCAACCATTTCTGACCTACCAAAATGACAAGTATTAGCGATCACTTTATTGCGAAGAGAGGAAAAGACTCTGTCCACTAATAAGCTAAAAACTTATTATGATCACCAGCTTCTACTTTGAAAATATGTGCTTCTGCTAATCAGTAGCCCATTTCCAAATAATTAAACACTTCAATTCACCCAGAATGAACGAAGAGTTAAACTTTGTCTCCAGTCTACACACTCACTCTGACCCCGCCCCATCTCCCCCACAAATATGGTACTGGCCCTCGGAGAGACAGGCTAACTTGCCCACGCCCACCCTGATATACTTCTCATTTTTCAGAGACAAGACATCTGCAGAAAATTTGAGAATAACTGTGCTACTATAAGTAGCAAAATACCTGTTAAAATACTCCTTTAGTTGGCCGCTTCCTTTGTTTATATTCAGCCATCCCATTCAGGGCCATTTGACTGAACTGCCACAAGGCACTACATTAACAGTAGAAGAGCTGTGACAACCCACAATTTAAAGTCCAGAAAAATGTCCATGCTGTTCAGAACCTTGGCCGTTTTTTCCCTGATTAGGAAAAGTTCTTCCTCTTTCTAGAAAGAGCTTGTGTTCATGTCCATGTATACTAATAAATTACAATATTATGGGGATTCTTTCTTTTTTTTTAACATCTTTATTGGAGTATAATTGCTTTACATTGTTGTGTTACTTCCTGCTGTATAACAAAGTGAATCAGCTATACATATACTTATATCCCCATATGAATGTTAAGGGGATTCTGAAATGATTCTGCAGTCCTGAAAATCAATTAAACTATTCTCCCACTCTGGCCAACAGTTCCCAGCACCTTCAGGAATCAACCTAAAGCCAAAAATGATATTGATATTAGTTGTTTTAAACAAGTGAAGTTGCTCAAACAAGAGCCCCACTGATCAATCATTAGACATCTACTCTCTCGGGCTCCACCCCAGACCTGGTAAGACACCCTGGGTTGGGCCCAGCCTCCAGGGACAGCTTGGGAACCATCGAGGGACACGTACCAGGTCTTCCTTTCTCACGCGATGGCACCTGCACGTGGTGGTGGCAGCTGGCCTATGCCCATTAAATCTTTCCTTCTCCAGCCTCGCAGCCGGGCTCCTCGAGCCAGTCCTCGGGCAGCATGGCGCAGGATCCCTTCATTCCGGACCCTTTCTGCACGCAGCCCACCCGACCCTCTCGCTGGTGACGGGGCAGCGTCTCAGGCCACTTCTCGCAGAAGCGGAAATCGACGACTCCTCCAGTGCCTGTTCATATTGAACTAATCATCGCAGCGTGTGTGGTCTTTTTTGATGCCGATTCTGTTTTTTCCTCGAGTCCTGTGTTGGGGCTTCTTGTGTCCACGGCGTAAGTGCTGTTCTTTCTGCTCTGATACAGTTTAAAGACATCCTGAGGCCCTCCTCTTCCACACTCACCTTCATCTTGTACAAACGTGTCCTGCAGGTAAGAGCCCGTGTCTTATCACATGGTCTGCCTGGAATCCTCTTTTTTCTTTTGGGATTATTTACAACAGTGTTTTCAGAACTTTGTGTGCGAGCCTCCAATTAACAGTTTTTCCCATTACGGTTTCAGATCATGCGGCCATGCCTATATTTTCTTTAAACCTCGTGATGTCGGTTTTCAGAAAGTCTACATTTGACTATGCCTGGTGTTTTCCTTCCCGAACGTCCTGAACTTCAAAATGACTGAACTGCTTTCACTGAGATCCCAGCTTTCTCCACACCACCCACCAGACATCCCTGGTCAGTCAGAACCAGACGCAAAGAAGGTAAGATGGTCTCATCCCAGAAGGCGCTATGTTCTAACGTGACCCCAACTTACACGACTGCTCAAAAGGGCTCCCCCTCACTGGGCGGCCCAAGATACCCACCAGAATGAGGGCTTTCCAAGTGTCTGGTTCCCTGGAACTACCGCATTGGGAGCTTGGCAAACTTGGTGGGTCCCGGACAGCCTCTCCTCAGCAGCCTGAAGCGAACCCCCCAGAGGACTCTGCTCTGGGACAACAGGCCGCCTTTCGAGAGCACACGCTTTCCCCCTCAATGGCATGTGGAGGCCTCCATGTTTCTTCCATTCCCCCTTCCGGGTGACGCCAGGGAACGGTGAAGGAGGTAGGAGGCAGCGTTTGCAAGCTTGTGGCCCGTGAGACTCGCGCAGGTGAAGTGCTTGGTTGGGAAGCTGCACACCAATAAACGGCAGCCCTGGGACCCAAACCGAAGCCCTCTCTCACAGCCCGACACCTGCTGCCGCACTGCCGCGTCCCGGAGGGCCCGGCAGCGTCGAGGACGAGTCGCCACGGCCACTCCGGTCCCGCGGCTCCCGGTTTAGCGACCACCTCCCAGGGCTGTTGGAGAAATCAGGGGAGAAGCCAGGGACGAGTGAACAGCACAGTGCCAGGCACGTGCTGGCCTAAGCTAAGCCTCAGCCGTTGTTACTGCCGTTGCTCATGGCCAGCGCCCGCCTTTTTATTTTAGGAAAATACTTTTATTTTTACACCGTGGAATTTCATTTCTCTATAGGATAACACAGTTTTCTTAACAGTTTTAGGTAAAATCCCTCAAACAGGGAAATAAGGATAACTAAGCAAAGGGGCTCAGAAGTTATAACTACCTTACTTCCTGACCCTAAGAGTTAATTCGACTTCAGTCTTCCGGAACGCAGCGGGAGGCCGCTCTGGGGGAACATGCGCCGGTCAGCGGAGGGGCACCTGCGCGAGACTCACCTGTCTGTGGAGCCCCCATGCCCCGCACAAGTCAGCCTCCCGGAGCCCCACGTGCACCCAGCCGGCCCCTCCCTTCCCTAAGAGCAAGACCCCCCCCCAGTGTCCGGGCAGAACCTTCTTTCTGATTCCTTCCCTATCACTGCTAGAGAGTACCAGGTGGGCTTATTCTCACTGCACCCTCTCACCTGAAACTCTCAAACACGCTGGGATGCTTCCTGTGTCATTTCTACCACTGGTCAGAACACTTCTACAAAATTCTATCATTTTTCCTTACTCTGTCAGGGAGACTACAGATAAATGTCTTTAAAAAGGACTCTTTAGAGAGGCTTATGAGAACAGGTTAAGGGGACAGCACACTAACCGGGGAGTGACGCCGCCACAGAAAACAAGCAGAGCTGACGTGCTGTTACTGCCGTTCCCATAATTAAAGGCCCAAAGGAACCGGCCTTCCTGGTCCAGACACCACCTCTTGCTGTTACACTAAGTGAACGCCAGGTGGCACCACAGCCCAGCCCACCAGAGACTTGACACACGTTTCTTCCTCAGCCAGCGCGGCGGGCCGGGAGGCCTGGGTCCCCTAACCCTCCCTCTGAAGTGCACTTATACTTAAACCACAATGAAGTCTTGTTATAAACGCCTTTAAAAAATTTATACCTAGCAATATTATTCTTTAGCTATCTAATGCTGGCAGAAGCTTGCTATCGACAGATCAGTTTGTTTCCGGACGCGCAGGCTCCGCGGCATGTGGGATCCTCCCGGACCGGGGCATGAACCCGCGTCCCCTGCACTGGCAGGCGGACTCTCAACCACTGGGCCACCAGGGAAGCCCTGTTTGTTTTTAAATTGAGTAACTCAGCACTTTGTGAATGCGGTGCTTAAAAATCTATAAACTCTCCCTCAAAACCATTCCACGGAACTAAGTAAGACTGGCAAGAAACGAGAGCTCTGCTTTTTGCTCCCTGGGATGGACGAACATGCCCTACTAGTAAGTGCCAGATCCATCCATCACCCTCGGGGATTCTTTACGGTGGCCTTTTCAGGGTACCTGATGTAACTCAGAAAACACCACTCTCATTTTCCTATCTTCCTCTCCCTTTCGAGTTAAGAGAAGCCCTTAAAACACTTGGCATTGTTTTTGCCTGGCTTTAAGTGCCCTCAGTTAAACTTTACTTAACACAATGATCTCTAATCCTTCTTTGCAGAACAGGAGAAAAAAAAATAAAAAAGGCAAATGGGAGGAAAGACGGCCCCCAAAATGCAGAACTCAAAATTCAGTTTTTAAGCTGGATAAAAGCAAGGTCAGGTGTTTCAGCAGTGGCTCCAAGCTAACTTCTGCAGGGCAGCCAACCTCACGCAGCGCTGTAAGCAGCAAGAGCACTGCCCTTCACACTTCTTGAAAACTGAATCACATTCAAGGATGCTCAAGAGAATTATCAAGACTACGTAGGAAGAAGCAAAGCCCAGAAAATGAGCCGGTCACACGTGGAAAGCAACAGTGCTACCACTTCCCACCCAAACACAGACACCAGGAACACGAGGCCCCAGAGAACAGACTGGACTAGGCCCCAGGTCTTTAACTCCAGGATCCCTGGTGAACTGTGATTTGACCCCAAGTTTTCAACCGCCATTTGTTTGAGAATCCACTCAGGATAACCATATTTTAATTTATCGTAATTTAACCATATTTCAATGCATCGTAAGTTCTCTAATGCCAGTTCTGTTCCTGCAAATTAATCCGTGTTATGACGGACTGTCCAAGGACAACTCTCCTTGGCCATGAGCTTAATGCCTCTTGATGACTGACAAGCCGCTCCTGACCATACAGCTGGAAAACTGACCCTCCTAAAAACAGAAGCCACAGCCTCTGGCTAACGTTTCACTATTACATACACATGAAAACTAAGCTTAACCATCTCTGAGAATCCAAGGATGAAGGCAGAAGTAGTTAAACCTAAACAACGAAACCATCTCAGAAGGGCTTCCATCTACACCTCACTCTTGTCAACACTCAATGGTAGACGAAGGCTTAAAATACACTAAAAATTAATGTATTGTACTTAATGTAATTAATGTAATGTACTTGTGTCAACTCTGTTTCCCCATGAAGCAAGAGACCTTAAAAGAAAGCACTCTGTGCTGTGTTCTTTTTTTTTTGGCCATGCTGCTTTCGGGACCTTAGTTCTCCCCGACCAGGGATCAAACCTGTGCCCCCTGCAGTGCAACCACTGGACCACCAGGGAAGTCCCCTTTCTGTGCACTTTTTACTCAGAAATCTAACATTCACATCCACGTCCTACGATTTGCATCAAACATCCTTCCCAAGCGCTCCAGCCTCAGACATGGGTCCTGGCGCAGGATGGAGGGCTGTGCTGCTCGGGGGGGTGGGCGGAGGGGGGTTGCAGGGGCGGGCGGGAGGCGGGGAGCTGGCAGGAAAGGCCAGAGTTGGGGACTACAGACACGCTGCTCAAGGAAAACCAGGTCTACCCACTGCGCTGGTTTGCCTCCAGGGCTCTAGAGGCTGGAGCAATCAGGGATTTCAGTGGCAATTTTTGTTTACAACACAACTGGAGACCCATCTGCAGCCAGCTCGGCAGAGATCTTCACGCATTTAGAATTAGCCAGTTTAAAAATTAAGAGACCAAAATACAGTCCACATTATTTCACATTTGTAAAGTCTAAAGCAAGTTCCACAGGTGTTAACATGTGAGGCTGTTTCTGAAAAGTAAGGTCAAAAGGCTAGATGCCGTAAAACGTTAGAACTGTCACACACAAAACAAGTGTGTGATAGAGCAAAAAGGTTGTGTGTTTGGGCGCATATAAGAACTTCAGGATAATATGAGGGTTTCAAAGGACAATCTGTTCGGCTAGAATAACTATTTCATAAGGTTTCTGAGCACCTGATAATTTCCAAGTAATCTAAGCCTAAGGCAAAGTTCTGGCATCAAGTGTGCACAGCAGATAGAACACTTGTCCTTCTTCTCAAGAGTACTGTTTTACCATGAAGTAACCAACACAAAGGGATCTTAAATGAAGAAATAACCGAGTCTTGGGAAGGACAAAGGGCACAGACAGAACGGGCCCCAGGTGACCCACCTGAATGGGTCCTACTGACATCAGCAGGCTCTTCAGCTGGGCGTCAGTAGTGGAGGAAGAAAGCCCTTCAACAGACACGACGCAGGGCTGAGGCTTGCACTCCACCACCCGGAGATTCTGCTTGTTCGGCATCAGGCGGCCCCGGCCCATCGCACCTGCCATTCCCCGGCCTCTCCCGTGCATGATGACCTGGCAACAACAAAAGGAACTATTCAAGGTTGAAGCTTGGGGGTTTTTTCACAGCTACTAAGATACAAAAGTGAACAAATCAGAATCCATTAAAATACACCGTGAACGACAGGACCTTCTGTAGTTTTTATCCACTATCAGAAAAGGGTTTAATGTCTAAATAAGACCACAGTACCCAGCAAACTGGAGTAAAAGAAAAGGAAGGAAAAGGAAGCAGCAAAGTCTGCACCTATCTTGGTGCCAAGCATGGTACTAGGTAGGCACTTTCTGTGCTACCATCATCCTGTAGACGAAGCAGCAGGATCACAGGGGTTCAGAAACCTGCCGCGAGTAACACAAAGATCTGGGTCCAGTCCTTAACGGCCCCGGAGCCCAAATTTCTCCCACTGTACCACAGGCAAACCCAGCGGGGACCAGGGGACTGTGTATGGTGCTCCCCACAGCCGCCTCCCTGTCACTGCAAGCCACAACACTACGTACCCTGGAGGGCAGATTCTGCAGCAGGAGTCTCCCACTGGCTGCACCACTGCACATTACACTCCTCTGCAGGGCTTTCAAAACAAAACCAAAAACCCAAACTACAACGACTGAGTGCCCCTGTCCCCCACCGAAATTACAACAGCACTGGCCTAAGGTAGGACCCAGACCTTAGCATTTTTTAAAGCCGTCCAGGGCTCAAAACCACTGTTCTGGGATCTTTTAAACAAGAAGGAACCGCTGAGCTTTCCCGTCTTTTCTAATCCGGAAAGTAGATAAAGCGCCAGTGCCCCCAGACCAGGACAGCAGTGAAACGCAGACGCGGATGTGACTGGGCTCACTGCGCTTTGCAGACGTCCTGCCCAACTCTGCCCGAGAGTCGGGTAGAAAGAGCCAAAAATGACCTCCCGCCCCATCACAGAGAAGGGCACAGAGGAAGGCAGACAGAAATCAGAATGGAACCCTTAGTACATGAATGGGTGCCACATAAAGGGAAACTGAGAAAAGAACGCAACACTTCGGAACATTCCACAGGAGGCGACACAACTACTCCTGTGAAGTGAGTTCCCAGAGTGCAAAAGGGTATTTCAAGAGAAGTCACATGGGAAAACACCATCAAAAAGTGCAAGTTTCACTGCCTGGAAACCAGCAGTGTGTTCTGTAACATTAATAACAACGTTCTCTACCGAGTGCTGGCTCACATTCCAGGTATCTTCTTATAAAACCCTCGCAAGAGCCCAAATAAGCCAGGAAAGATTACTGTCCTCACTTTTATAGGAGAGTAACCTGAGGCTGAGGATGAAGAAACACGAGTGCTTTATCTGTGTGTACAACAGACTATGGGGGGGAGGGGTGTTCTACGATCTTTCTCATAGCATACCCAGGGACAACACCTGACCAAAGAAAATTTAGACTGGAGCAATTTTTAAAGAGTATATCTGAAGATACGACTTAATGTGTCTGTGCCTGTGCCACCTGCAGCAAAAATGTCACTACTCTGTTTGTCCCTGTATCATAAGGTATTTATGAGAAAATAAATCTGGAGTAACTGAATTACTTCAAAGAACGGTCTTCAGGCTAACACTACTCCTTAATATCACCTGCAAGGCAAGCAGAGAGGATGAACTGGCAGAGTTCAGAGCTTTCTAGAAGAAACTCAGAGCAAGTATGGTTGCCCCTCTTCCACCCTAAGGTCATCAGGCAAGGGGCATCTGGCTTCTGCGCCGAGAGGGGACCTTGCTGTCGGGCAGAGAGGGGGCCCTTGGGAAAGCTACAAAGACACCCTCACCAGAAGCTGGGGGGGTCCCCACCAGGACATGATGGGACAAGGGGGACGCTCCTCTCCTCGGGAAGGTTAAATTCACAAGGGGTACTGGATGCCCACACCTCGTCTCCCACGCTGAGCTCGGAGAAGGAAAACACACCCTCGACCCCCAGAGCAAGGGAGGGAGGAGGGAAGAGCCGGGGGGAGAGGCACTTTCTCGGGCAAGGTACTTCACCCCCAAAGGCTTCCCATCTGCGAACTGGGGTGACGAGGAGGAAGCAGTCTCTGGAGGAGCAGCTGGCAGGGGAGGAAGGAGCGCTGGGCTGGGCTCTGTGCAGGGCTGTCCCCAGAGCACAGCTCAGAGCTGCCCGAAATACCCGCAGCCTGGGTTTAGGGTGATTTCCCAGCATCGTACCACTCAAAATGTCACAAGAGGAAAGCGCTTTTGTGAACACGTTAGCTTTCAAAGCCAGGGCGAAGGAAACTATGGTTGGTTCATCCACAATCTGAGCACTCCTGCTGCGCCAGGCACTCCCATCAGTGGGTTCACGGGCTCCGCTCCTGGGGCAGGGGCAGTAACAGGCAGTACCTTCTTGGCCGGGTGAATTCCTTGGATGCTCTTGATGCCTGGAGGGCCGGCTGAGTGCACGTGGGCCCCCACCGGAGGGTGCTGGGGCTGCTGAAGCGCCCCCTTGGTCAGCGTCACCTTGCGGGCAGGCTGCTGTCTCACTTCTGGGGGCTGAGGGAGCCGCTGAGGCTGGCCCTCCAGGTGAAAAAAGCCATCGCTCTCTCCTCCCTGCTGAAACCAAGGCAGCACGCTGGTCAGTCTCCGCACGAGCAGGCATCCCTCCCCAGCATCGGGGTCCACCTCGATCAGTGCTCAACCGAGAAGCACAACCGTCAAGCCTGCCGTTCACCAGGGCCACGGAGCAAATTCCTTACTTGACGGGGGTTTGGGTTTTAATAGTATTTTTCAAACTTAAAACTAAGATCTTTAATTACTGTACCCACTCAAGAGGTCTATAATTACTAAAGTAAGTGCTGTTGAGTTCAGTGAAATAGTGCTTGACTTTAAAAATACTTCATACTCGACATGCCTTTTCCATTTTCATGAGCATTCTTGTGAAAATCTGACAGTTTGTATAGGCAGTGGTTTTAAACTTTTAACTCCCACTCAAACCTAATGAAAGCGGGTCATCATCCTGACTCGCCCCGCTGTCCCCCGGCGCTGGTTGTGAATCCCAGGCGCGCCCCAGTGCCTTCCTCCCTGCAGATACAACCCTGAACACTTGGGCTCCCCAGAGCGCCCGCAGGCTGAGCAGCACCCTGGTCGCCCCTCCTCCTCTGAGTCACAAGTACCCACACGTAGGCTGGCCTCCGGCCTCAGTCCTGTTTGGAACAAGAGCAGACCAGCCAGGAGTCTGAGAAACTGAATGAGGAAATTCTAGAAATGAAAGAGTTACTGGAGGCCCAGACAAGTCCTCCCCACATGGCGGACAGGGAACTGCAGGGGGACAGCAGGAAGAAGAGCTGAGGAGGGGTCTGAGGGGGCAACGCACTCACAGCTCGCCGGCCAAGGGCAGGGCGGGGTGCCGAGCACCACCGATCCCTGAGCGCTGGCTGAGCACTAAGCTGGGCAGCGACAGGGCTGCCTCCCAGGAGACCAGGTGAAGAAATGAAAAGCCCAGGCCCAAACGGATCCTCTGGTGAATTCTATCAACTGTTTAAGAAAGACAGACTCCCAATCTGGTTCAGAAAACAAAAGCAGAGGGACAACTTCCCCACTCATTCTCTCAGACTTGTATTACCCTTTTACAAAAGTCAGACAAAGACATCAAAAGAAACAAAAGCCACAAAAGAATATCCCTCATACATATACATGAAAAAGATTCTCACCAAAACACTAGCAAACTAAATTCAGCAACGCAGAAAAAGAATCATACACCATAACCAAGTAAGATTTACCCCAGGAATGCAAGGTTGGTTTAACTCAAAAATCAGTTATCAGACCACATCAGTAGAGGAAAAGACCACATGACCACCTGCACTGATACAGGAAAAGCACTCATAATAAAAATTTTCAGTGAACTAGGAACAGAAGGGACAAATCAACCTGACAAAGGAAAGCTACCAAAAATCGACAGCTCACATCATGCTTAGTGTGAGACTAGTCACGGGTATTCGACCTGCACGTTAGTCACCTAGGGAGCTCTCGTGTGTTAGTGTTCCTGGACTCTGACCCAGAACCATCCAATTAGACCCTCTGGAGCTGGAACCCAGACATGAGCATTTTTTTGTTGTTTTTTGGGGGGGTTTTTTTTGCAGTACGTGGGCCTCTCACTGTTGTGGCCTCTCCCGTTGCAGAGCACAGGCTCCGGACGCGCAGGCTCAGCGGCCATGGCTCACGGGCCCAGCCGCTCCGCGGCATGTGGGATCTTCCTGGACCGGGGCACGAACCCGTGTCCCCTGCATCGGCAGGCAGACTCCCAACCACTGCGCCACCAGGGAAGCCCCAGACATGAGCATATTTTAAACGCTCTTCCAGTGATGTTTTCCAGCCAGGGCTGAGGATGGCTGAACCAGGTGGTTGCCCCCATAATGTTCTGTGACTCTGTGACTCTATAATGTCGGCTATAATTGTCTGAAATGTGATCCTGCTGGGCGTTATTCCAACCTGATGGGAGACTGTTCCCCAAATGAAAACGGACGCACTATGGAAAGGCAGGCCGTTCTGCAGGACCAGGATCCACATGAAGTCAGACTGCTTCTTGTGCTTCTTGAAACTTCTCCATTACATCTTTCATCCAAAAGGTGTGAGCAGGTACCCCAGCCAGGCAGGGATGATGGCCTATTCTCAGCACACAATTTTTCAAAGTTCATATCTTGAAAAGCTATGTGAACACTCTCTAGTTTTGTATATGCTTGAAATTTTCTATACTAAAAAGTTGAAAATTTTAAGGGTATACACCACATATTCCTATCTTTAAAAGCCAGTAATCCATCACTTATTAATTTACTTAAAATCATATTCAAATTATGTTAGTATAAGATTCATAAATTCACTGTTCAAATGTTAAGTCTCACTGTTCTTAAACACGTCTCTTTACATGGGCTGACACCTCACACTAGCCCCCAGGTCCCACCAGAGGCTGTGCCATAGATGCAGGTGGCACTGGGTCACTGAATTCTCCACACAGCTCAGCTACCTAACAGTCTACTGACTGATTCTCCACCGTCTACCTTTTTCACTAATGTGGATAAATGAACTGGCTATTATGTATGGTTTAGAGAAACCAGTGGCTTAGACCTGGGTGAGTCTGTTTTTGTTTACCAAGCCAAAATGTCCTATGCATATAGATGGCAATGAGATATTTACTGAATAAAACAATCAATGGTAGATCAGGCTTCTAAAAACTACGTAGCTCTGAATGTGCTATTAAAAAAGAGATTACAGTATCAGAATACTAGGTTATAGCCACTGTCAATTAGTACATACGTATTTACTAAATGCCACTGTGATACTAAAGAGGCCAGCCTTCAGTTCAGCGCTGATACTGGGTGCACCAGAAAACATACTGTCATGCTGTACAAATCGGTAATCAGCTGGTACATGTGGTCTGAAAGGAATGATGTCCATATATACGGTGGACAACATGGTGAATATCGTTGCAGATATTTTCTTTAGCAATCCAGAGCTAAAAACGTAGATGATCTTAAAATAGAAAACAAAAAAAGAAAAAGAGAAGAAAAAGGGAATTCCCTCGCCACCAGTGGTTAGGACTCTGTGCTTCCACGGCCGGGGGGCCTGGGTTCAATCTCCAGTTGGGGAACTAATACCCCACAAGCCGCGAGGAGCGGCCAAAAAAAAAAGTAGATGATCTAGATAGTGAAGTTTTATTTAAAAAGAAGAGCTTGCACCAAAAATAGGATATTTGCCTATTTTTAAGGTATACACTGTGTGTATGTATTTGGGTGATAAATATGTAACGCTGTGGTGATCTGATGATTTTTAAACTGGGAATTAAGAACAGAAACATTTAGTCAATAAACACCCCAAACAAAAATTCTCTTTGCTGTTATTCTGAGTTAAGAGACTGGTGCTAATTTATGTCTGACAATATTAGGTCAGAGGAACACCCTGAAAAACAAAGTTCTAAACTTTTATTTTCCTTTCAAAACAAGTTTACGTTTTAAAGTAAGCTTGATTCCCATCTGCAGTTCAGAAATACAGGTAGAGTTATCACAAAAAGCCTCTCCATTTAAGACTTCCTAGGAGATGGCCTGAGAAGACACAGTAAAGGACGTCTGTGATCAGAGCGCCTGCAGGTCTGGACCTCGCCGCCTGGAGGTCTCCCCGCTCCGTCTGCATCTCACAAACTCACGGGCACGGTGAGCACCCCTACTCCTCCCCGCCCGGGGAGCCTCAGCAGCCGCCAGCCTGACCTGCTCACTCGAGGGGGGCCCCAGCATCTCTAACCCTAAGGTTTCCCAGGCCACGTAACTGCTTTGTTCTTCTTCACAGCGTTAATCACCACTCACAGTCCTGTCACGCTCACGAGAACGGGAGCCCCGCGGGCAGCACTGGTCGCCACGCATCCTCGGCTCAGAGAAGAGGACCGAGCCCTGGGCAGGAAGACGACAAGCACTTGGTGAGTCAACGATGAACAAGAAAGAGAGATGCTTCAGGCAGGGATTATAACAAAGGCCCAACTTTTGGGAAAAACTGCTATCGTCAGCTTACTGACAAGTGACGGGAAGGTCTGGGTAAGCTCTGGAGTTACTTATATTCAGGACAATGTTTTACACCTTCTACAGCTACAAATGATGTAATAAACTTTATAACAGAAATTTCCAGGGCACTCTAGGCTCTCCATCACCATGCTGAATGGCACCATTCAACATGCTCCACTCATGGGAAGATGGATGGAGTTGTTTGCTGAATGTCTTCAACTTGACAAGTAGTACACTAGGGTCTGTACAGAGACTGTTTTCCTTCAATCCTCCCTCAAGGTAAATATTATTATTCTCACTTTCCAAATGAAAAACCCGAGATCCTTGGTCACACAGTAAGTGCTTTTAGGACTTCCTGTCTCAGTGGTTCCAAAGCATGGACTCCACACAACCTCGTAGGCAAGGAGCTTATACTAACATAACTATTTTTAGCAGGGTTAGAAACAAAGGGACTAACCATCATTCAATTAAATCATTTTAAGGAAATGAAGGTTTACTATAATGCTCTGCTCTGACATTTTTCTGGAAACCATGCTGAGGACTCAAGGCTTAAATATAAGTAATGTTATTTCATTTTGTAAGAAAAGCAGTTTTTTTTTCAATTGAGAGAACAATTATTTTCTTTCAAATTAGCACAACGAAAAGCTAATTCTTAGGATAAATTTTAAATCCCAGAGTTATTCCGGTTAACACTAGGCAACATTCAACCTACTAACTTCTAGGCTGTGGCCAGAAACATATTTTTTACACCTACTCTCACATTCTCACAGACACAGAAAAAAGGTGAATGAGAACCAAGCCAAACTGAACCCGCCTATTTACTTAGAAGTCTTCTACAACTTGTGCATATAGTTAACGCACTGAAGGAGATTCCAAAATTATTACTTATGTAAATTTTAAAATACTGTCGATTCAAATCAGGACTTTCAGAAGCCTGAAAGGTTCACTAAAAGCTTATTAAGTTACATTATCATCTTAATGTAAGGAAATAACTAGTCATCTGTGGATGGCAGATTACATTCCATTCAAAGAAAGGAAATCCACTTTGAAAGTGCATTTCTCTAGGGT